CCCCTAATTAAAACCTTCATGTTTTTTTTTTTTTTGCTTGTTTTCTCTAGCATTGGTTTTGTATGTTGATTTCAAACACAAAAAAAATAAATTTCAAATAATGTTTTTTTTTTGTTTGGTTTTTGCAGCTTGGTAAACAAGTGAACACAATCAGATCACACTAGCATGGATTCATAAAAGTGTCAGCTAGATAATTAGGGCAAACTTTGTTCTCAGGAGAAGGGTATTTTCATCAGTATCAGTCTGGGGCAAGTTGTCACATGTTTTTAAAATTGTGTTGAGTAAATTGGGCAGTGGAGATCTTTAAAGGCTTTTTGTTGCCAAGACTGTAAGGTGTGCATTTATATTTCATCAATTAAAGACAATGAAAAAAAAAAAAAAAAACTATGCAACCAAAACAGAGGATATGTACAAGTCATCTGTAATGGATAAGAAATTATATAAAACCAAAACAACAAAAACCAGTGAATATGCTATACAATTCTTTCATTGCAAACCACAGACTCTGTCTGGGACATCGCCTTTTAAACTGTACACGTACGTTTTTTTTTTCTTAGATTTACAAAACAAATATTCATCTTGAGAGTCCATCTCATAGCTCTTACATAAAATAGAGTCATATTCATATTTATTTTTGCTATTTACATGACATATGTACAGTGCAGCCTTACAGGCCGTCCCTTGTATGACCTCAGGAGGAGATCCTGAGAGAGTCCAATCCAAGACAAGTCATCCCATACAGAGCCTATTTTCAGCTTGGGATCATTCTGGAGAAAAACTTGGGTGCAAATAAACACTTTTCCATTTATTATGAGAATGAACCTTACACCAGGCCCTTTCAACATAACGTACAAGGGCAAACTGCATTACAAAATACTGCATTTTGGTCAATTGTTTTGGTCTGTTAGTAATCTTTAATAAATGAACAGCAAAGTTCAATTTGGCTTCAAAGCTGCAAAAATAATTATCAGTATTTTTGTCTTGTTTTTCTATCTAAACATCCTTAAAACAAGATCAATTTAATTAAATTATATATTAACATTCCTAATATTCCTGAATTTCTTCTGTATTATGACTTCTTCATTTACATTATTCAGGTTTATTATAGAATATGTTGTACGTTGGAGCTGGTCTTGGATTCGGGACTCATTTTTGATGGCTGGGGATCCATATTGTTCAGAACACTAACATCAAATGACTGCAACCAATTGCACAGGGTTGCAGTAAGTGCCAATGTTGGCAGGGGAGGAGGGAAGACCAAAGGTCAAGAGTTCAAGAGGTCAGATTGTCTCATGTATTTTAGGGGTCATGAATGGCCAAAATGCAGTCTGTGTTTCTGAAGGCCCGGATGACAAGTTGTACAGATTAAGCTTATTCCGGTTTGGTTCAGTTCAACTGATGGCAGTGCAATCAGAACAGGTTTCCCTTCAGTCGTGAACAGCGAGAAAAAAAAAAAAAAAAAGTAGAAATGAATCCAGACCACTATGCGTGGTCATAATTAACATTGACACAGAATCACTCAAAGCACAATTCACACCATTTTCATGAACAAATTTCCTCGTTTGATGATTTGGAGGCGGAGCCTGAGATGATTGACAGCCCAGCTGGGTTGATCTGTGACAATGGTGAATGAAGGGTTGGGTGTGTGGGTTTATTGGCGGGAACTAGAGCTTTTGTAGATATGGCTTGTAGGTACGCTTGATCCTTTCACATGTCTTTTGGCTCCAGCTTGCTGGACATCTCAAAAAGCAGGTTTTGATTGTCGATGACCTGCAGTTGCCGAACATACGCTTTTGTCTGGAGGTGAGAGGGGGATGGCTCGGCCTCTATTGCTGTGAGAAAGACAGAAAGACAAAAATAAATCAATTAAGGGCACTGAAAGAAAGAAACACAGTTATAAAATCTGAAATTCTACTTTAGAACACCTTTTTTATAAATAAATGTATGTAACATTTATAGTATACATTTATACACTACTGGTCAAAAGTTTGGAATAATTAAGATTTTTTTATATTTTTAAAAGTCGTCTCAATATATATATATAAAACAGTTCATTTGAATTAGCATAAGAGACTTCTTTCAACAACACTAAACATTTGAATTATTCTACTTTTAACCGGTAGTGTAAATATGACTATTATTACAAACAAATTATTTGAAATGATTTATTTAACGTTTATAGCTAAAAATTGCAATCACACAATCAAGATTTTAAACTGTAGAAGTCCCGAATTTTGATAGCAGGTTTGCAAAGGTAGCAAACCTCACAAATCATCCTCAATCATGTTTGAAACAGGAGTGGGCAAATATTAACAGCATTCTCCAATAATTACTGTAAACTGCAGATGAGTGTGTATTGATTAAGAGGTGATACTGTGGCTGACCACATGGTGGCGTGGTAGAGCTGAGATACCAGCATACACGCTCACAAACACTCAAGTCCAGCTGACCTGACTTTACTCACACACAGCATCCCGTTGCTAAGCCACACTTTTCAAAAAGAGAGTAGAAAAAAACTGCAAGAAGAGAGAGAGAGAGAAAGCAGGAGGAAGGAAACCAGCTCTTTCAGTAGCTATGAATAGCTGCACATTGTCCTCTCTGATCTCAAGAAAAAAAATTGTCGCTTCGCCTCTGCATCAGATTCAGCTGTCACTCAAGTTATGGTGAGACAGATGCTGCTGCTGCTGCTGCTGCTGCTGCAGGTTCACACACATCCAAGACCAACCGCTCATTTACTTTAAACCTATGCTGCTGGAATCATTTTCTGTTTCAAAGATATATATTTCAAATAAATGCTGTTAATTAGCATTTTCGGTTCATCAAAAATCCTGAAAAAAATGTATCATGTTTTCCACAAAAATATTAAGCAGCAAAACATTTCTTATTATTATCAATGTTGAAAAAAAGTTGTTTTCAACATTGTTATCATAAGAAATGTTAATAATAAGAAATGTTTTTTGAGCAACAAAACAGCATATTAGGATGATTTCTGAAGGCTCATGTGACACTGAAGACTGGAGTAATGGTGCTGAAAATTAGGCTTTGCTATTTTTTAATTGTAAAAATATTTCACAATATTACTGTTTTATAGTGCTTTTGATTTGAAAAATGCAGCCTTGGTAAACATAAGAGTTTTCTCTCAAAAACATTTTTAAAAATTGCGTCGACCCCAAACTTTGAACCTTAGTGTACATTCATCTTGTGTTGAGAGACAAAGATATTGATTAACAAGAAACACTTTTGAAACTCTTTCATAGCTCAGATTGAATGGAGTCATGTTTCATTTATGCAACTTTTTCCTCAGATATTTCCTAAAAATAGCATAGGATAACAAAAACAAAATGTGGATAGCAGAGCCCATATCATTTAGCCTTAGACAATTCTATAAAGAATTTCAAACTGAAATATGACCATTTGCATGAGCGTCTCATCAATCAATGTCTTGAAGCAACACTGGAGGCTGAATTAATTTCCTCAGAGATTTTTTTTTTCTAACAATAAAAAGAGATCATAGAACTGATCCGAGATCATCTGCAGCCTCCTTCCTTTAACACTTTTGACAGCAGGAGCGCATTAGAGACAATTACAGAGTCATTAAGTCTCACATCCGAGCAGCTCCCCCAAAGTTCAAACCCGCTGTAAGGGAAACGGTGGCAGGAGGAGTTCTGCATGGTCAATGGCTGCAATGTATCTATTGAAATCGATGCCCTCTGGCCTCGACACGTCACCAAATGAGCCTCAGCCACCATATAGAACTGTCATTGCTTACGTGGGCGACAGATGGAATGTCATGCTACACCAGCATAAATCGACTGACAAACATTCAACTTAAATATTATCTCACAATGGAGTGTTTTGAATGTGTGACAATAAAGACGGTGGACAGAGGTTTTGGATGCATCTAAATTCAATTCTTTGCAGCGCATAGAGAAAAATAGATGGTTCTAAAAAAGGCCACTTCTACGCACCAGACTGAAAAAATGGCGTGCGCTTGGCTGGCCATCAATCCCTCTAATGGAAATGGATGAGGGCAATCCACTCAGGTAGATGGAGGGAGAATGAGCCCTGATAATTACAGCCCTCGTTCAGAGCCAGAGACAGGAAAATTAGTGGCCTGATGCACGAGACCTGCTTCAACAGCAACAAACTGGAGACAATGCACAGCAGCTACAGAAGTGAACAAAGCGCTGATAAAATAATCATACTAAAATAATAGACCAAAGGGGTTATTTTCTTAGTGATTAATAAAAAAAAAATTGTCTGACTCAGTTATAGTGCTCCTCAAATATGGCGGAACATTAACAAGTCGCTTTGAGGGCCATATTGGAAAGACCTCCTATATGGTAATAAACAGTATGGTAATACCTACAATAACACGGTAGGAAATAAATACACTTTCATGCAAAAGTTTCAGGTCAGTAAGTTATTTTTATGTTTTTGAAAGAAGTCACATATTCTCATCAAGGCTGCATTAATTTAATTAAACATACAGTAAAAACAGTAATATTATTCAATAGTATTACAACTGAAAATAATTGTTTTCTTTGTCAATTTATTTTAAAATATAATGTCAATCAATGTGATGACAAATGTCCAGTCTTCAGTGTCACATGAATCTTCAGAAAACATTCTAATATACAGATTTGCTGCTAAAGAAGCATTTCTTATTATTATCAATGTTAAGAACCGTTATATGTTTAATGTTGTTGTGGAAACGGTGATACATTTTTCTTTCTTTTCAGGATTTTTCAGGATTCCAAAACTTAAACAATAGTCTACAAACGTCCAGCTCCTGTTGCTCTAGATTTTCAAGAACATACTTTACAACAAAGCTATCATAAATTTTGCTCTTTTTCCAACTCAAATCTATATTTTCAGGCTGGTAAGGTTAATGTACATTCTAGAGGGAAAAAAATACCTCTATCAAAAGGCAACTGCTATATTGAGAGTTATGATATTTGAGTTTTCTAATTAGATTTTTTGCTTTCTCCTGTCATAGCTCCAGTTTGTCTGTTGAGTTCAAAAGAATAATATATATTTTTTATTATTTAGGAAATTAAAAAAGTACTTAATGCATGATTATGGATAGATGGTTGTCATGATTATTTTTTAAAAACTATTCACTACTATTATAAAAATTCAACCACTATTATTTTTCTCTGAATGAAAACATTTTATAGAAAAGTCTCAATCTTATTCAAATCTCTTTTTAAATAATACATTTAAAGCATTTACCACAATCATGACAATTGGTTTTTGTGTTTACCACATGATGATCGTAGAAATGGTGCTTTGAAATGATCGTGATAATGATAAAATGATGCATGACGACCTCAAAACAAACAGCCAATCAGAGGAAGGAAATAAGAATCTTGTGCAGGGTGTGACGGTGCAGACGCTCTTTAAAGGCACGCTGAAGATGAGGCATAAGATGTGGGTGCGTGCAGAGTCACGACTTTTCAACCTCACGGAACGCCACGGTTACCATGGAAGCCATGTTTTGTTTGTGTGATTGTTGTGATTGAATCTAGGGAGTCAAGATTCCAAGACAGTGGAATCAAGACAGAAAGTGAAAATAACTGTAAAACAGAAACTGACATTCAACTAACTGTTTGTCTATGAGCATAAAAGTTTTGAAGCGCTGCCCAGCTGTTGCATGTGTTTGTGTGGGCGTGTGTGTGTGTGTTATGAAGCGGTGCCCTGTGGCTCATGGCCCCGAGGGCTGTGCTGTCCCAAACAGATGGGCTGTGGCAGGGTGGAGCAGCAGTCTCCTAGAACTAATCCACTCCGACAGGTGTGTATGTGAGCCCGTGTGTGTATGTGTATGTGTGTGTGTGTGTGTACGAGTTCATGTAGGTATGTTGTTATGTTGGCGGGTGGAGACATGCTTTACTTTTGCACTAATACTATTTGACAGGCCGATGTCTGTGTGTGTGTGTGTGAGTGTGAGTGTGAGTGTGAGTGTGAGTGTGCG